TCCCTGCCTGCCGCCCTGACCCCGGCTCCCCGGCCCGACCTCCCGAAGAAATGGCCTGGCCCGGCCCTTGGCGGCCCCTCTGTGGGGAAACGGGGACTGTGCGGCTGGCCGGGGCTGGGGGGACACCCGGGGTCCTGGGGTCTCCCTGTGCAGCTGGAAATCCAAGCCCTGGAGACTGACTGGCAGTGTGGCGCGGGCCAGGTGACCTCTGCTTGTGTGCCAGGGAGTCCTCAAGGGGCTGGACTCAGGTCGTCGTTGAGTGTCCCTGTCACCCCAGCCAGGGCCTGTGCAGGTGCTGCATGGACCTCAGCCCCTACCCGGGAAGGGGCGGCAGTGCCTGGGTTTGGGAGGGTGACACTGTTGAGCCGCATGATGGGGCCACAGTGCCCCTGAGCAGGCCCTTCCTGCCTCAGTGGGCCCAGCCAGAAGCAGGGCTTACATCTGGCAGTGCCATGTGTGGGGGCCTCGGCTTCACCTCTCAGGAGTCCAGTCCACACTGGGCAATTTGCAGCTGAACCCACTGCTGTTCCTTTCCACCGTGCCACTGTGATGGGGTTGGGAATGAGGCAGGGCTGCTGCAGCTTTGGGGCCTTGGAACAGAGAAGGCAGCAGTGATTGGGGCACTGAAGACGGGATGCTGGTTACTGGGAGGCAGGACAGTGAGAGTAGGGTGGGGCACCCACAGGCCAGCCCCCTCCTGTGGGTGCTTGGTGTGCACTTGGACGGCTGGGGGAACCTGGGCAGGGCTCGCCAGCACACCCCGCTGGCCCTGCATTGGACCTCTGGCCACCCAGCACGAGGCAGGCAGCTGAGGTCCAGGAGTGGGGGATCCTGTCCCCCTGGGTGAGATGGGGAAGCAGGGCAGCTGGAGGTAGAAGGAAGGCACTGTGGAGAGAGGGCCATCGAGCCCCCTCTGTGCCTGGGCAGCATCCACCCGCAGGTTTAGTTTCCCTCCAGCTGGTGTGGCTGGTCCTACCTGCCTCACAGGCCTGTTCCAGGGTCACTTGGAGTCACCCTGATGCATGAGGTACGGCCCAGTTTGTTTGTTCCTGAGGGTGGAGAAGTAGCTGGCACGGATGGTAGTTATGGTCACGAAAGCCCACTTTCTCTCTTAGGGGCGTCCTGCTCCCCTCTGAGAGTCCCAGCCCTGCTGTGACAGTGGGAGGGGCCTGCCTTCTCCACACTGCTTGCAGGGCAGCAGGGTTTGCAAGGCCCAGCTGGCCTGGCTCCCAGGCCCAGGCTGGTGACCACAGGGACGTTTTGAGCCTAAGTAACCCTTCCGGGTGGGAAAGGAAGTGAAGGGATGGGCACCCAGGAAGGGCACAGCAGTGTAGGCTTTTGTGGTGGATGTGTCACCCCATTTGGGAGCAAGTGGGTGGAGTGCGGCTAGCGATCCTGGATCCCAGCCCTCAACATGTGACCCTAGGCAGCCCTGTGCCTTCCTGAGCCCCTCGCTGCCGGAGACATGTGGGACACCACTGAGGTCTGTCCTCACTGACAGGGTCTGGCTTCTGTAGACCTGAGCCCAGGGCCCTGTGCAGAGGATCAGACTCTGGGCTCAAGGCACCTTTCCAAGATTCCACAGCTAAATAAGAGCTTACTCTGTGCAGCTGGTGTGGTACTGACCTTTCTGGACCTCTGTCCTTGCATTGACTAAATGGACAGCAAGGGTGGTACAGGCCTGTAATCCTAGCACCCAGAAAGATGAGGCAGGGGGATCACGGTGAGTTCCAGCCTAGTCTGGGCTACACAGTGATTTCAAGCCCAGCCTGTAGTGCACAGGGAAAGCTTGTCTCAAAAGACAACATAAATAAGTGCACAGCAGCCTGTGTCCTGCCTCCTCTTAGGATCTGCTGGGATCAGGGCAGTCCCTCTCCCTCCATTTTCCCACCTGCGATACAGTGAAGGTGCTGCCCCCTGTCCGGGAGCATAGGTGTCCCCATCCTCTTCTTTCTTCAGGGGTGGCTGGGAGCCACTGTGTGTTGCTGGAGGTAGAGGCATTGTGGCCAGGGAAGAGTGGAGTTGTCAGTGCTCAGGAGACCAGGGCGTGGTCACTTTGTGTTGCTGCCTAAATGTGCGCCAGTCCCAGGTGGGCCCTCTGTCATTGCTGACCTCTTCTGTCCCACCCTGCATCCTGCAGGCTTCAGCCAGTGTGATGCTGAAGATGATGACCTCGCAAGGCTTCCTGGGCCAGCATCCTGTGCCAAGAGCTCCCGACCCACTTGGACACCCCCAGAAGTTATCCCCCACATCAGAGGCAGACTCAGAGGCCTCCATTTCTGAAGCCTCCTCTGAGGACCTGGCGCCACCCCTGGAGGCTGGGGTGGCCCCAGAGCAGGACGGGGGAGAGGCTGTGGAGAAGGAGAAGAAGAAGAAGCCAAAAGCCCTGGCCAACATGTTCACCATATTCAAAGGGAAGAAGAAGAAGAAGAAGAGTTCACCCAGCTCGGTGCAGCCAGAGCCCACGGGGCCCAGGCGGGGTCTGAGCAGCCCACCACCCACAGGTAGCGGGCCTGGACAGGGCAAGAACTCCTGGGCTGGGGGGGTCTCCTGCCCTGGGGGTGCAGGACTCATCTTCTGGGGCCCCAGCCTCCCCTTGCCCAGGGTGCCACATCACATGGGTCTCTGGTACAGTGGAGGAGCTCAAGGCTGCGCTGGAGGGTGGACACCTGGAGGCTGCGGGGCCCCTGCTGGCGCTGGAGCGGGAGCTGGTGGCCTTGGCCATGGCCGGTGGCATGGACGCGGAGGAGCTGGTGCGGCGGCAGAGCAAGGTGGAGGCGCTGTATGCGCTGCTGCGTGACCAGGTGCTGGGTGTGC